CTTGACTTTTCGCCTGCCAATGTGGCCCCAGGAACGCTTTTCCCTTGCGCCGGAGCCCTCGAGCGCCCCCAATGCGCCGGGTTCGGCCTGCGATCGCCGAGCGCAAAAATGGGCCAAGCCGGTGGAATTCAGCGTCCCGGGGGCGCGACTGGGCCTTTTTTCGCGCCGGCTCAAAAAAATTGCCTGGGGAGGCCGTGCTGGGGACACGACTGGAGATGCTCTAACTTCAACCGTAACATGGCCGAGACTTCCCATAGCGGGAGTAATTTCAACAGTAACATAAGGGCCAACTCAGCAAATTTATTGATGTGGTAATGATCTAATAAAGAGAGATGATCTGAGTAACATAACTAGTTATTGGTTTATAAGGCTTGCTTATATTTTTTGGTTTATAAATAGACCAACCTAATACATGTTATATATCACAAAAAATATATCATTAGAAACTTCAAATCGTATACTTTCTAATAGTATAACCTTTAGACTATACAACTGTCAAATTATAGATTTAGGGATACGCGCAAGCCTTATAAAAACCGGAAAGGAGGTAGTACCAAGACAAGATGAGTCTACAAGCTAATAAATAAAGTGTTGCATGACATTATTTTCCACTATAGAGGTAGTAACATAGACTAGTATCATATGCATGTTAGTAGTCTAAGTTACTCCCGACTATGGGTAGTCTGATGGGGCGATGACAACCTCACCTGTGACGCTGTCGCGTTGTCGAGTCCTGGTTGCGTGGGACTCTTCGGGAAAGACAATTACTTTCTCCGTTCACGAATAAGTGTACATGTATAAATTTTAGGACAAATAATGAAGTGGAGTAAAAAATGCATTGGAAAGGTGCAAGCCAACCATCTCTCTTCTCTTTAATTACTTCATCCCTAATAAGCTAAATGCATGTAGAAAGTCAGTACATCATGTGATGTTATTGATCTTGATTACCGTGTGATGAGACAGAAGCATTTTTTCTACTTTAAAATGCATTGAGAAAATAGAAGTACATTTTTTGGACAAATTTTAAATGCCAAACGTAAACTTATTTCGTGGAAGGAGGAAGTATGTGGGGTTGTTATCTTGCTGTGCCAACCCAGAGGTGGCTGATGGTGTGATGACAACCTCGCTTGCAACACTGTCTCGCTGTTGACGAGCATGGCCGAGTAGGCGGAAGCACTCGTTGTGCTCTTGTGGGTTTGCCTAGCATCAACAATAAATATCATGCAAGAAACATATCAACAATGCTACCATGCAAGCATTTAACGAACTGGATGCAATGGATCATGCATAACAACGACAATCGGAGCAGACGATAGTCATGCACCGAAGACCATCACCAACATCAACATGTACTACTAGCTAGCATAAGCATCTGAAAGGAATACTAGCAACTAGTACATGATAACCAGGTGCAAGACAACATAGCATGAGAGTGAACATGAAACTCTAAGCATCATCGGAACAACGACAACCAAGTTTTAAAAGGACAAACATTTATTAAATATTCAAGTTAATAACCATGGCTACTGCATGACTATCATGCAAGTGGGTATTGTTGCTTGCCTGGGGATGAAGAAGGCACCGAGAAGAAGTGCGTTGAAGCCACGCAAAGATTTGCCGGAAACAGTCCTCTCCCGAAGGGGGCTGTTTACGTGCAAGGGCAAAATGGTCATTTCCAGAATGATAACACATGGTGGAAGTGTGACCGACAGAACGGGCTCAATGAGGCGAAGAAATGGGCTTTGGATTCACCTCAAACGGAGTTACGAACAAAAAGTTATAACCGGACGAAGTCCAGGGACCAATATGTAAAAAGATTTCCACAAATAGGCCCCTGAGCTGAAAAACAGAAAGCACATTTAGTTGAATACGCCTTCTCAGCAGAGAAAACGTATTACTAGCCGTAGTTAAGTGAAAATACACTTTCCCAAAAGGAAAACACATTTCCAACTGAACTAGGATCAAAGTATGCTTTCCCTTAAAGAAAACGTATTTCAACAAAATGGGTTTCCACTTATCCAGCTAGGCAGTGGCGGAGCCGGGGCTTGTCTTGCTGACGTGTGAATTCCACGGGCGGTGGCGGCCGTCACTTATCCACGTGGGCAGGCCGGGTCAATGCGAAGTGGCGGGACCGGCCGCCTGGGTCTCTGCCAGGTGGGGTCCCTAGGGCTGGGGCCCGCCTGCCTGGGTCAACTCCTTCTTCCTCCCGCTCGCGCTCGCGATGCAGAGGGAGTGGCGCGCCGCCGGCGACTGCCCTGGATGGCTCCGGACACCTTCGGCGAGGCTCCGGCTACCGAACTACGCAGGACGGATATACGCATCCATCCAGGGCTTCGCGCGCGTCGGGAAGGATCGAGGCCACGATGGCTTGGGTTCCGGCAGAGGTGGTCTTCGGCC